TATCCAAAGCTAAGTACAGAATACTTTGAGGTACCTTCAAAGTATCTATCAGATAAGAAAACAAAACATTTTTCCTCTGCAAAACGGCCATGAACATTTTTGCAGTGACCATATCCTTCTTTTGGATGATGACATCAAAACTAGATTGGGTGAGTATCATCGCAGAATGAGAAAGAAGGCCCAAAGTGACCCAGAGCTTCAGCCTGCTCCCTGGGACAATGGCAGTACCCTAGGCCCTCAGCTGAGCACGATTCTTCACTTAACCATAACTGGGCCTCTCTCTCACGTAAGACAGATAAATTATTATGCCAAGCATGTACGTCACTTTCACAGCTCTGTTTATTATTCACTCCCCAAACCAGGCCTTCAGATGGCTGGTTGGTCATGAGGAGGCCTTAACCCTGAGTAACTCCAGAACAATTTGTCTCATTCTATTCCCAGCAGGAACTGATAGCTAAATGCTATAAGCCCTGGGAAAACAAAACTAGGGTAGAATCAATGAGTGTTAAAATGGAAAGGCCTCAATACTATGTGATCTCACTAAGGGGAACCTAAAAAAGTCAGACTCACAGTAGAGAATAAAATGGTGGTTACCAGAGGACGGGGGTGGGGCAGGGAATGTGAGTTCGGACAGGGGACACCTTAGTCAACAGGCACGAATGGTTAGTTAGACAGGAGCAATGAGCTCTGGTGATCTACATCACACAGCACAGTGACTATAGTTAATAATAATCTATCAGATATTTCAAGATAGCTAAAAGAGGATTTTAAATGTTCTCACTGCAAAGAAATGAGATGATGAATGTGCAATTAGCTGTCTTTGATCATTCTATAATGTATACATGTATTGAAACATCATGTCAGTTGTACCCCATAAATATATACTAGTATTTTTTTTAATCAATTGAAAGTAAAATTAAATTTTAAGAACTTCAAAAATACCCCGATGGGGTACCTAGAGTTTGCCCAATTCAAACCCTCCTAACCTAATTTTACAAATGAAAACTACAAGAAGTTGATGGGATGCTCTACCACACAGTCTGAGAGTGGGAAAAGGTCCTCTGAGGAACCAATGTGCACATTTTCTCAAGGAAGGGAAAGTCATTAGTTGTTTCAAAACTATAACTCTTGGGCAGCACCTGTGGCTCAAAAGGGTAGGGTGCCAGTCCCATATGCTGGAGGTGGTGAGTTCAAACCCAGCCCCGGCCAACAACAGCAAAACAAACAAACAAAAAAACCCTATAACTCTTATTTTCTTAATTGTAATTAAATCAGGAATGGGATATAGAAGGGTGAGAGAGTAAAAGCAATCATTTTCCCTCATTTTATCTTTCAAGCATCTTTCTGATCTATTGAATGTTTATCAATTATATGGATGTGATGGACTGACTAAAACCAAGGATTAATATGGATGAAACACTGACAGATCTTAAGTCTAGAATATTTTCCAGTCAGGATTCAAGGGACACCAACCAGTAAAATTTCCTGACGTGTTACAGAGGCATAGTCAGATAGATCAGGTGAATGGTCACAGGGAAATTTAAACAGTTTTTCAGAAAAAGGAAGAAAATAACCAAACTGATAGTCCCAGAGACACCAATAATCATGGAATAGAGATGCAAACCCTATCAAGAGACCCAAGGTTAAAAACTGAGAGCTCTGGACTTACCAAAGATAAGTGAGACTGGCAAGAGTCAAGTCTACTCACACCAAATGAAAACAAGAAGTTAGAGAGCTTTTCATCCCACTGGGAAAGTATGGAAAACACACATAGAGATGGCACGCCCAGCTACATCATGGCAGATATCACCCTGCTGGGCACAGGGGACCTCAGGTCAATACCAGCCCTGAACCAATCCACAGCTGAGCCCCATTTGTCTGTGACACAGCAAATGGAATGGGAAGTTCAAATAGCAGAACTGAAATACCAGATGTGAGATCTGGGGAAAGTGTAAGGCACATATGTAGCATCTTATAATTGTTATTCACGTCCAACACTGAGGTCCACGGAAAATGCTTGTGGACATGGTTTTCGTGAGGCTCAAGAAACTCTTTGCTGACTTTAGACTTACAAGTTGGTGGGGAAGAAAGAGGGCAGACATGGGACTGGTAGGTTGTTTTTAGAAAATTATAATGGGGAAGTAGTAAAAGAAAGGAAGGAAGAACAAGTAAGAGCTAATGTAATGAAAACTTCTACCTTCCACGTCCACTTAGAGACAAAGGAGGACTGGTGTCCAAAGCCAGCTGTACAGGGCAGTGCCTGGGGCTCAGTGAGTAGGGCGCCAGCCCCAAATACCGAGGGTGAAGGGTTTGAACCTGGCCCTGGCCAAACTGCAACAAAGAAATAGCTGGGCATTGTGGTGGGCACCTGTAGTCCCAGCTACTCGGGAGGCTGAGGCAAGAGAATCACCTAAGCCCAAGAGCTGGAGGTTGCTGTGAGCTGTGACACCATGGCACTCTACTGAGGGTGACAAAGTGAGACTCTGTCAAGAAAAAAAAAAGCCAGCTGTACAAAGAGGCCAGAAAACAGGTCATAGTAATAAAAAAGAAATCATCAATAACAACTGATCATTACAGTCAAAGGCTAGACACAGCCATACACTAGGTTAGATCAAGGCAAATGAAAACTACAGCTACAACACCAAGTGTGGATGAATTCCACAAACATACTATTGAGGAAATCAAGCCAGACACAAAAGAATACCTACAGCCCGTGCATAAAAAGCTCAAAAACAGCAGATATCTCCCCAGGGAGTAGTGATGGGAAGGAATTAGAGAGAATCTTCTGAGATGCTGGTAGCGCTGTTTATTGATCTATGTACTGGTTACACACTTTGTAAGAATTCATCCATACATACAATTATAATCTGTGCACTTTTCTGTGTGATTATGCATTTGCATTAAAAATATGACAGCCATGTTGCCCATCTGTGTTCCATAGGACTCTTATTGCCTTAAGAAGTGCTAGGAGGTGGTTTTTCCAGGTGAGAGTTTGGTGTTCAATACATCTGAGAGATACTGGGAAAGTTAAATATATTCCCATGCTGCGGGACGCCTCCATCAATGAGTGTGAACACAGTGATCCCCCTGCAGGGCCTCTCACCACTCATGCTGCACCCCCTTCAGGCTTCTCTAAGATACCTTACAGACTTCCAAATGTTGGCCCCAAAAGAAACTTCATGGAAGAAGATGATGTGCACATCCAGTTAATCCCCTGACAGGACCAAAGCCACTTTCAGCACACAGTCACTGTATTCACCCAGTGTGGATCAGAGGTGCCCCCTCTGCCTGGAAGGGCCAACAGTTCACACATGGCGCTGCCTGCGGTTTCAGACACAGGGCCCAATTCAGTGTTCTTGTGCTCACGCAACCCCCGAGCAGTGAGCTGGCACATTTCTTGTCATTTGCAAATGCAGCATAGCGAAGGAATAAAGAAAAGCAGATTTTCAAATAGAGCTTTCAAAGCTGTGATTTAGGAACACTCACGGAATCTCAGCACTCTCATGGGTTTCCAGCTCAAAACACAGAGTTTCTCCCAAATACTTAAGAGCTATCACGAGTTGACTCTTACAATCACTTCATTTTTCTAGTCACTTATGTCAAAACAAACCATTGCTTCTTTACAACTAGCATTTTGCTTGTTCGCAGTGGGGCAGACAGTTGTGTTCATTGATTTTCATAAACTCTTTTTCATTCTTGTTACCATGAGTGAGTCAGAAGAATTTGAGAGTTGTCTCTGTGTGTGTATGCATAAACACACACCAAAAATAAATAAATAAATAAAAACAAATAAACAAAACCCAGAATCCTATTCTCTTATCTTTAGGACATTTTTCACAACTTCAGCTATTTTACTAGCTTAACCAGGAAGCTGGTTTACCTTTGGCTATTTATTTCTACCATGTTTCCCTGAAAATAAGACACTGTCTTATATTTATTTTTTCTCCAGAAGACACACTAGGGCTTATTTTCAGGGGATGTCTTCCTCTCTGCGTTGAAATGCATGGTGTGGCTATAAGACCATCACTAGGTCTTATTATCGGGGTAAAGCTTATATTTAACAAATGCATAGAAATCCTGCTAGGGCTTATTTTGGGGGTAGGTTTTATTTTTGGGGAAACACAGTACTAAAAGGGAAAAAAAGAAGGAAGTCACCTAAATTTAGTTAATACCTTTTTGGGGGAGTGGGGAGGCAGAATAGAGGCGCATTTTCAAAATGCCAAATAAATAATTTACCTGAAGCACATCATTTTTTCTTCCAGGCAGCTGATTGTCAAAAAAGTGAGGATAAGAAAAGGCCAGAGTATTTCAAACCCATGTCTAAAGCCAAGGCATGCTTAATAATAGGTATCCTGACTATACCATACTGATTTTAAACAGGAGAATTAAATTTACATATTTCAAAGAAAATCCAGAACAAGCTAACGAACGTTGTGATGTCCATTTTGTTGGGAAATAATCTGGATTGGAAACTGTGGCCTCATGTCTCAAAGTCTACCAAGAAAACCATATTGCAAACATGAAACTATACCATGTTCAGTGGATAAACAGTAAGCATGACTATGTTTGAGAGTACAAAGGCCATTAGGAAAAAGAAAGAAAGAAACAGAAGGAAAGATGCAGACAAAAAACCATTAAGAGAAAATTTTATAAATGTTAACTGTCACAACCATGGTCATACAATTTTGAAGCAGGATTAAAGACTGTCTATAAAAAAAAAAAAGAAAAAAAGAATATAATGAAATTTATATTCTTTTGTTGGACTTGGGTTAGGGCCAAAATGTGGGGATAGTCTCACAAACAGTATTTCAAATGTTGTTTGCTCCACAGCAAGGAAAAACATTACCCATTGAACAAAGAACTTCAAGCATGACAAGTTCCCTTACAAGCATAAATACTTAAAGTTTTAATCAGAAAGAATTCCTGGTACTGTGAAAAAGAATAATAAATCTTATGATTGGCTAATTCATGTTCACATAACCAGTAATGATTGTACCTACCTCATTTAAGTCCTGCTGAGTTTCAAAAGCATCCTTTGGCCAAATGGCAGCCCTCTGGTCTATTCTATAAAATACAAAGGAAAATTATTTCCATTGAAAAGAAACCTTTCAGCAATGTGCATTTGAACCTGGCAGCTATAGATTTGGCCATGCCTCTGTTAAGAACTCTTAGTGGTGTCCCACTGTCTGGAATAAAATCTGGACTCCTTATAAAGGCCTGCAATACATTACAGCATTTGAACCTTACCAGACTTACTGGCCCCACCTCCTCCGACTCTCACCCTTGTTCATCAGCCATGGCCTTCTCTCTGTTTCTTGAACAGATAGTGCTTGTTCCCTATTCAAACCTTCACACTTGTTGTCCCTGGGCCCCACAGCTCTCCTCCCAGATCTGCATACAATGACTCTTCTCATGAATGCCTCAGCTAAGCTCACATGTCACCTTCCCCAGGAGGCCCTCCCTGCACCCTCCAGAGCACTGCCCTGTATACTGGTTTCTTAGCACTTCTTACTATGTGAAATTAAATGTTTATTTGCATTTCCATACTAAAACATAAGCTCCAAGAAAGCACTGATTATATCTACTTTCTGTAGTGCTAAAGCCTCAGGACCAATCCAAATTCAATGCAGTTGTCTTGGAGTGACTCAATGTGATCTGATACAGTTGTTACAAAAAGATACCATTTGTCCACTGAAGATGCCTTTTAGAAATTTCATCCTATCTCTTAATTTACAAGATACATTTTATACTCATTGCTAGGTTATACGGTGCTATGATTTGGATGTGGCTTGACCCCACCAAAACTCAGTTTGAAATCTGATCCCCAATGTGGTAACACTGGGAGGTGAGGCCTCATGAGAAATGTTTTGGTCATGGGGGCAGAGCCTTCATGAATAGATTAAGGGAGTGAGTTCTCTTTCCCTCAGAAATGGATTTGTTCTTGAGAGAGCTGGTTGTTCAAAAGTCTGGCTTCCTTGGTATCTCTCTCTTGCTTCTTTTCATATCTTTTCACACCCTCTTGCTCCCCTTCTACTTTCAACCATGAATAAAAGCAGCCTCAGGCACTCACCAGATGCAGCTGCCCAATCTTGGACTTTACAGCCACCAGAATCGTGAGCCAAATAAAACCTGTTTTCTTTTTTTAATTACCCAACCTCAGGTTCTGTAATAGCAACGCCAAATTGACTTAGACACGTAATGAAGCTGGGTTTGTCACTACATAGTTCATAATAGAATAAAATGGACTTAAGGCATATCTGCTCTGAGTTGATTTTCTTTAGCTTAAAGGAACACACAAAATTCTACTTCTAGAAGATACTTAGGTCTAAATTATGATTTATCAAATGCTATGGTCTAGTGGCATATATTAAGCAGCATTTGAGTTTTTCTGTAGCAGTGTACATGCTATTATATAATAAATGTATCAAATTATCATTATTATCTTTATAAAAAGGCCAGCTATCTTAATGACTAAGAGATTTAGTAAGTGTTAAGTCATTTAGAAAAAGATTTATTTTGGTGCATAATTATTTGCAGTTATTATTCTGCCTCAATTTGAATCCTAAAGAAAACATACACATCCTCAGAATGGGTAACACAACTGATTTCTAAATGTCATAGTACACATTTAGGAATGTTACAATCCTAACTTCTTCAAAATAGTCTTGAGAATGTAAAGTTCTCTGAACCCACAGGCATTGTTAATTGTGCAAACTATTTTCTAATGAGAAAAGGAGATGGTGGAAGAAGAAGAATGTGAAGGTCAGACTAATGTCTTCTATGTGTGCACAACCAGCATTCCCCTCCTGGGTGTCAGAGAAGGCTAAGGCTCTCAACCGTGAGCTTAGTTGTAACAACTCAAGTGAGAGGATAGAGAAGGAAGGCTGCTGGCTCACCCACCAGTGCCCATCAACCCCATGAGCAACAAATATGGGGATTTCAGGCTTCAGAGAATACAAAGTAGCTCTTTCACACAAAACAGGGGAAAGGTCTTTCCGAGATTAACCCATCCTACCCAGTAACATATTAAATACACTCTGAATGGCTCATAGGTTCCTCGTAAACTACCTTCTCAAACTATGTTTCTACAGAGTAACACCCAAAAAATGGAAGAGTGGCGCTCTTTATGTAAAATAGTATTTACCAGTTTACACTTTACAAATGTAAATTTCTCTAGGATTTTGGTGCAAGTTCCTTTTTGATGAGTGACAGCTGATAGTAAAGCAAATAAATGAGTAGCACATTTAATGGAAAGAAGCAGAAATGCACTTTGTTAAAAACATATAATACATATTACTGAGATATAGGGAAGAGCCTATATGAAATATGCACACACAATCTTCCAGGAAAATCGCTCTTAACCATTTCATAATCCTCCAGAACGAGCTGGAGAACTGTATTTAGAAGCATCAAAGGTGCTTGGTTTTACTAAGCTTCTGAATGTCTACTATGTGCCTGGTCTGATATTGGGGAATAACAGTCTATGCTTAAGGATCCTTATAATCTTCAAGGGGAAAGCAAAAGAACACAGAACCTTGAGGCTAGTTCAGTAAATCCAGGATCAGGGCCTAAAAGCTCATAAGAGAATGGTGGGGAGGAGCTGGAGAGGGAGAAACAGATAAGAGACATTCTCAAGGATAAAAGCAATTGAGAGATCCTGGGTGTGGATTCAAAGGATGGAATAAAAGAGGTGGAGTAATGGAAATTAGAACAAACTTTTGAGCCTGTGTGACAAGGAGAATGGCAGGTGGTTTTCCAAATGGCAAGAGAAAAACATCTAATTTTGGAGGGAGGAGAGAATATCAGGCATAAAGAGGGCAATTCATGAATTCAGAGTTAGATATTGGAATCTTGAGGTGACACTGAAACAGGGAAAGAGAAATACCTGGCTGGGTTACCCCTAGAACTAGGATCCTTCCTCACCAGCACAGCACCAGTAATGATTATGACATGAGGCATGGTCGCCACAGGTCAGGTCCTATGAGCAGGTCTGCATTATCTTTTTTCCTTCATTATGTGGCCAGAACTTAGGACAATGCCCAGCACATTCTCAGTACACATCTTTTGGACAGATAGATAAAGGAAGGAAAAAGACTAGACCTAAATTTTTGATCTACCACTTACTAAGTGCACACATTTGGGGCAATATGTTAACCACTCTAAGCCTCTCAGTTTCTTTATCTGCAAAGTGAAGATAACAACAACAGGATAATTTATGATGTTTAGGATAGTTCATGAATGATTTTCACTACAGTTGTTAGCTACAGTAAATATAATAATACATACATTCCATAATCATATACAACATGATATTAAAATTATTATATGATAACTAATGGTATGTTTTGTTAATAATAATTAAAGTGTCATTAATAAATAAGCTGAAAGAGAGAAGCAATTGGGTCCACTCTGTAGGTCTCCAGAACAGGTCAGTTAAGAGACAAAAGAAAGGCAAGAAAATACGGGAGGTAAGAAACTTATCAGAATCTACTCCTCTAAATATCAGAAAGACAGAAGTTAGGAAGAAGAGCGACAGGGAGAACTAACAATTCAGCAGATCTTAGCACGCCAGGCTGGGCCTGCCAGGTAGTTTACTTACATTATTTCATTTAATCCTCACGGTAACCATATGAGACTAACATTATTACATCCATTTGACCTAACAGGAGAAAGGTCAGTTAAATAACTTCATCTAGTCATTCAACAAAATTTTTTAAGCACCAACTATGTGCCAGGTACTACTGCAGGTACTGGGAATAAAGCAGCAGACAAAACAAAATCTACCCCGTGGAATTTATGGAATTTATTACATGGAAGAAGAGAGAACCTACAGACCATGGATGATATGCAGGGTACTAGATGCTAAATATTATGGAGAAGGAAAAAAAAAAAAGAAGACAAGAAGAAGAACATGATGTGCAGGTGAACTCCCCAAGCTTATACTGCCAGAACGTGTCACAGCTCCCTGGAGAAAATGAGCATGAAAGGGGAAAAAGAAAAGGCCACTGAGTTAAAAAAGATAAAAGTCATAGGTAAGAGAGGAAAAAGAAACAAAAGCTTCTCACTGGAGAAGTTCAACAATGAAAAGAGGAGAACTGGAACAGTAGCTAGACATCTCAGGTTCTCGCCTTTGAAAGATCTTTAAAGATCTGCTTGAAACATTCACCACAGTGCCTGGAAGCCGACCCCCACACAAAACTGGGTCACAATGAATACTCCTGCCAACTCGCTTGCATTCTTGCACCTGAAACAATAACAGGAAAGTGACTAAGCAAATCTCAATCGAACGCATGCTTCTGAAGGGCACCAAGATGAATAAGCTCGCTCGTCAGAGCGGCCTGACAATTCCAACATAGCTTTGCCCTCTAGCCCAGGCTCGGGCAATGGGAAATGTAGCCTGTACTCCTCAGAGACCAATTATAGTCCTCAGCAGTGAGGAGCAGGTGATGCCTCCAACCGCCACCATTAATACCACTACCATTACCACTACCCACCATCAGAGTCACCACCATTACCACAACCCACCATCTCTACCCTCAGTGCTACCACCATTACCACAACCCACCATCTCCACCACCATTACCACTACCCACCATCAGTGCCACCACCATTACCACAACCCATTAGTGTCACCACCATTATAACTCACCATCTCCACCATCACCATTACCACAACCCATTATATTCACCACCATTACCACAACCCACCATCAGTGCCACCATCATTACCACAACCGACCATCAGTGCCTCCACCATCACAGCCACAACCATGACCACAACCCACCATCATAGCCACCACCATGACCACAACCCACCATCACAGCCACCGCCATTACCACAACCCACCATCAGTGCCACCACTACCGTTACCACAACCCACCATCTCCACCACCATCATTACCATGAGCCATCATTACCACCATCATTACGATCAGCAATACAACCACCCACCACTGGAATTACCACCACCATCACCATCATTCTCACTAGCATCACCACAACCACTACTCCATCATCACCATCACCACCACTTATCACAACAACCCACCAGTATCACCATCAT